GAGCTGTGTTTGGACAAGGAATCATGAATTGATTTTATTTTTTAAATTTTATTATTATTTAAAAAATACTTTATTGATTTAAGAGAAGGTAGAGAGAGAGAGAGTGAGAAACATTAATGATGAGAGTGAATCATTGATCAGCAGCCTCTCGCATGTCCCCCACTGGGGATTGAGCTTGAACCCTGGGCATGTGCCCTGACAGGGAATAGAACCGTGACCTCCTGGTTCATAGGTCACAGCAAAACCACTGGGCCACACAGACAAGGCTTTACTGGACTTTTCTACTCTAGTGGTCCTCCCATTTCTCTGCCTCGAATGAGATTTGCTCATCTTTTTATTACCTTCTTATTAGAAGGGTTAGTCCTTGAGTTAAGACGAGTCCGTCATCATAGTTGGAACATCATGGAAACCAGTGGCTGCTTCTTTATTTGAAATGAGTCCTCCTCCCCTGGTACCGGTTTACTCATGGAGCTGAAGGGTCAGTCTGTGCCAGGGCTCCTGCTGGGTGTAGGGTTACAACAATGAATAAGTTGTTTGGACTCTGGCTGGAAGGAAGACATCCCATTAAGTCACCGCCCATTACTTCTGGACGCCCCCTAACAGCCCTCAGCCATCCCTCATCTCATTGACCATCCCCTGAGCCTGTGGAGTGAGGCTGGTAGCCCCATGATCCCCAGGACCACACTTTCCAGATGAGGACACTGAGGTGCAACAATGGGAGGCTGCCTGTGGTGGGGGGGGGCCGGGCTGGATGGGGCTGAAGCCACTATGTCCTGGTCCAGCGACTGTCCCCTGAGTGCAGGAGGCAGATAGAGGACAGGTGGGGACCAAGCAGAGCAGGTCTGGGCACAACAAGTAGGGGGGTAGGCGGTGCCAGGAACAACAGGGAGGGAAGGAAGAATGGAAGGGTTAGAGGGGTGACCTTTGTGTGGGACATGTGGGTTCTGGAGGTCCCGCCAGGTTGACAGTGAAGGAGGAGTTCACCCTCAAGTCACAGGTGGCTTCTGGGTAGCGAGACCCTCAGTGCTGGGCACCAGGACCAGGTGTGGGGCAGGTCGACCCCTTCTGCCCCCATTGACCCTCTCTCACTCCTCCCCTTCCCTGCACTATTGTGTGTCCATGGGCTATGCACATCTGTACATATAAAACCCTTACATGCAAATAGACCAAGCGGTGGAACAACCGAACAACCAGTTGCTATGACATGTGCTGATCAACAGAGCGTGTGAGAAGAACCTGGTGGGTGTTGGCTGCGACAGGATGGTGGAGCAGGTGACTGGGGCCCCAACCCCAAGGTGGGGCACCAGTCGCTGTCATCAGGTTGAGCCTCTGGTGGATACTGAAAATTATCTGCTCCCGCTTGCCATGGTCCTGCACTCACACCTGCTGCCAGCACAGGCCCTGCTCCCACCTATTGATAGCTGGAGCTGCCACGCGCACCTGCTGCCAGCGCCCAGTACTGGCCCTGATCACATCCCGTCAATGGGTGCAAGAGGTGGCAGCCGGCCTCTATTGCCCATCAGGGCTTCTCCACCTCCCCCTGCTCCTGAGGGGCTATCTGGGCAGCAGCCACCACTGGCACTCGCTGACTGCACCAGCCTCGCTCCCACCGACTGCATGGGGCTGGGCCCTATCAGTCCCGCCATCAGCAGGTGTGAGTGGGGTCCAGTCATCAGCTTCTGGGAGTGGGAGTGGTGGAAGCTGGGCTGCCAGTCAACGGGGGACCAGAGGACCCTGTTGGAGGTGTAGGGTAAGGACGTAGAGGATCGTCCAAGACAGCCCCTGTGCCCACCACAGCCTTGATGCTCACAGTTCCCTTCTAGGTGCACGCATTTCATGCACTGGGTCCCTAGTATGCATATAAGTTCTTTGGTTAAACTCTTACTACAGACAATTTTCAGTCTAAATGAAGAAAATGATCAGCAGGGCCTGGAGAGACTCCCACCCACATAGTAGGAGGCAATCTAGGCCATTTTTTCCTGATTAAGGGGAGCTGACTTGGCCGTGCCTTCCTCCAGGCAGCCCTCCAGCTTTCTTTTAGCTCTCAGAGTCTGTGCTTCCAGAAAAAGCTAGACAGACTGGTTGCACCCCCTTCCTGTGTCACCCCCTCCTACACCTGGTCTCGCCACCTCCAGCCAAGCCAAGCCCACATTCCCGGCCAGCCCACACCTGTGTAGGTTCATCAGTTGAGGGGATTGATGTGTCCAGAGGCAGGTTCTAGGGCTGATGGGAGAGTTAGCACCGTTTGTTCTGAGGCAGAGATTCCACCCTCAGCACTTTTCACATCTGGGACTGTGGAGCGACCCTGAGAGGAGTCCAGGTGATGGGGCAGGGCTGGAAGCTGGGCGCCAGGAGGTCTGGTCGTGCTTGACGACCCGCATAAGGAGTGTCAGGCGGTGTGGAAAGGGAAGTCCTTCGGGGGCAATCACGGGGCCATCTGGAGCTAAGGTGCAGCTGCGGGAACTGATGAGAATCAGGCACTGACTCAGGGCTGGAAAGTTCAAGCCTCCACGCTCCCAGGCTGGATACAGGAAGCACAGAACCATGGCCTCCTGCCACGACCTCCATCGTGTCCATAATTTTAGTAGCTTGTTCCTGTGTCCATTTGTACATTCTCTATCTTCACTCCTTCCTCATCGCCCCCTTTGACCAGGAAGTTTCTTTCAAAAACTTCACAGAACAAATCAAACATTTTAAAGTCCCTGGTTGGCGGAGTGGCAATGCCTTATCTGGGCCCATCATGTTCCTCCGAGGGGAGACATGGGCTAGACTTGAGACATGCTCGCTCCCCATGGGTCCTGTAACCAGCTCAACATTTTGGGAGCCTTTGGGCAGAAGTCTTAGGACAGGGCCAGCTGAGGCATGATTGCTCTGTGTCCGTGTCAGGAGCAGCCTCACTCCTGTCCAGTTAGATGTCAGCTCTCAGTTCGGGAGTTGGTGACGCAGGTGCTGCCAGGTGAGGCCTGGGAGCAAGCAGGCGGGCATTCAGTGAGAGGCGTTCCTATGGAAACAAAAGAGAATGATGAGAGGACATTGGAGGACCCTGTAACCCCAGGGTCTAGTGGAGGAGGTTTCTGGATGCTGGCGGGGGCGCCCCCAGAGCGGGTGGAGTTAGGCAGTGACCCCAGGTGCTCTCCTGGGCTGCAGGGGGCGTCTCTGGTTTCTCTGCCTCCTGAAGAAGGTCCATGAATGGGCTGTGGTGACATCTCTGAAGTGGAATCAACTTGTCTGACTTCCCTTTGCCTGGCTTTGGGCAAAGGTTCAGTTCTCAGCGACCCCAGGCCCAAGGAAGGGAGAAAGACTGGAGCACTGGTTTGGAGACTCACAGCCAGATATTGGGGGAATGAGAGGAAGTCAGGGTGCAGTCCAGTCCAGGCAGAAACCAACCCTCAATAGGCACCTCACAGTCTATCGGCAGGGCCCTGGGTGTGGTATGGGCTTGCCCTTATCAGAGAGACTCCCCGGGAGCCTAATGCTCTCGGATTTGCTCCTCTGTCTCACTCAGCACACGTCCCAGAGCCCAGTGTGGGCTGGGCTGCGCTGTGACGGGTGGTCAGCCCTGAGAGCCAAAACCTGCAGGTGGCCTGGGAGGTAACAAGGCCTGGCCCCCAGGGGAGATGGGGCCAGGAGGTGCTGCACAGGGTTCCCTCTGCTGCTGAGTGAGGTCAACAACCAGGTGTCACCAATCAACCCACCAGGTCACACAGAGTGAGACAGAGGAGCTGCCGGACACGGGGCAGAGGGTGTTCACGGGGAGCTTCTCTGTTGTAACGAGCATGCCCCACGTTGTCCTTAAACAGCCAGACACACCTTGAGTTGCTGGACAGCGTATCCTTTAAGGTGCCAGTGCCTTGGGATCCTCTGAGTATCGCCGGCTCCTCCTTCATTGGCCCCTTCATCCCAAGATGCCCATTGAGTGTGTAGAGACCCTCCTTGTGGGGATCTGGTGAGCAGGAGGGGAGGGGTTGGCTGTCCGTGGCCCCCTCACCGCACGCCTGTGCCTTCACGTGTGGGTCTGTGGGGAGCCCCATGTGAGGTTGGGGAGGTGGTAGTGACGTGGAGGCCATATCTCTGGGAAGAAGGGAGGCCTCTCTGCCTCCACGTGAACCTCCGAGTCTCCCCACCCTGAGGGAGGTGGCTGTGGTCTGGCCTGAGCCAGGAAGAGAACACGCCTCCCACCAGCCCGGCCCCAGTGAATTCCACAGATGTTAGTGTCTGTGTCTTTCTGATTCACCTCAGACAAATCGGAGGGCCCCTTGCCTCCTAGAATGTAAGTGCCATTGGCGAGATTGACCTCATAGGGACAGAGAGACCACAATCCCACCTACTCTACAGGTGTCTGTGTGACATGCAGGCAACAAGCAGCAGGTGGCCCAAGCCGGTGTGGCTCAGTGGTTGAGCGTTGACCCATGAACCAGGAGGTTGAGGTTTAATTCCCGGGCAGTGCACGTGCCTGTGGCAGGCTCAATACCCCATGTGGAGTGTGCAGGAGGCAGCTCATCAAGGATTCACTCTCATCATGGATGTTTCTATCTCTTTTCCTCTCCTTCCTCTCTGAAATCAACAAGAACATATTTTTTAAAAAGAAAGGAAGAAAGAAAGAAAGGCTGGTGTTGGCCAATGGAGGAGAAAGTTCCCTGCAGAAGCGAGGGTGAGAGAGCAGCCTTCCTGGTGAAACTGCTTCCACAGGTTCCATGAAACAGCCGCTCGGCTGTTCCTGGGAGGAGGGGACTCCGAGGCCGGCTTGCTGGCAGCTGGCTTGCTGGTCGCTGCTGCCCAAGGCCCCTTGTCATGACCCTCTGAGCCATTCCTACCCAGGGGCGTGAGCATAAGCCCCTTCTCCAGAACCCCATTAGAACTCCCAGCCTGGCAGGGATTGGGGGCATAGAGAAGCGAGCAGCTCAGGTGTCACCTCAGGGCTCCAGGCCAGAGCTCACCCCCCTCAGCTGGATGATGAGTGTGTCCACCTGACTCGCAGACACAGGTGAACCACAGGAGGGGCTGTTTGTGAGAATTTCCCTGATTGCAACACACCCCGCAGATCTGTCCCTGAGGTTGCGCAACCCTCTCCCCTATAAAGAGGGAGGCGCTGTGGCCTCTGGAATCTGTGGCTGTGCCTGCAAGCCTCCTCCTCCTCCTGCCCTCGCCCAGCCTGGCAGCCAGCATGAGGCTCTTCCACATCCTGCTGCTGCCTCTCTGCCTGCTCTTCGCCCAGGTGGGCCCAGGTGAGCTGGGGACCCTCGGGCACTGTGCCCAGGGCCGGGGACCAGGTGAAGGGAGCTGTGAGGACAGCTGCAGACACTGTGTCCTGTCCAGGCCCTCATTTTGTCAGACAGATATGACGGCTTTACTCCAGTTATGCCTCAGGGTGCCCATCTGGAAAGTGGGTAGGAAAGTTTCCTCATCCGGAGGTTTTAATATTTGTGGATGGAACCTGCTCAGTTTGGATTATTTCTTAAACAGACATGAGTATTTGTGGAACAGAGCACGTATGTTCTGGTGACTGTGTGAAGCAGAGGAACCTTATTTGGGGACTCATTGGGTGCTCTTCACAGCTCTCTGGGCAGAAGGAAACCCCACTTAGAGCCCTGCTGCTCATCATCACCTTTGGTTTGGCGTCTGTGGGCACCAACCTCAGATGGAGGGCACAGACCTCAGATGGAGGGCACAGGCCTTTGCATGAGCAGCCCCAGAGATCAGTGGGGGTGAGGTTCCTGGGAGGGCACCCTGTCTGCAATGCCCTGGGAAGGGCTGTGTGTCCTGCAGTCATGTTAGCTGTGAGCCAGGAGCCTGACATGTTTTCATTGCATCCTCACAGGTGCTGGCCTCCTTGCGGGTATGGCTGCTAAGGGTCTCAAGTGCCTTGAAGGGGAGCACTGCTATTTCTCCTGCCCGGAACACACTAAGCAGATTGCAACATGCTACAGAGGAGCGGCCAGGTGCTGCGGTTGAGCTGGAGCCTCGGGGGAGACAAAGCCACAGGAAGGTCTTGTAAGCATCATTTTCCTAGAAGAAAACCTTTTTTTAAAGCACGGCTCCTTTGGACCCACATGAACCCTGTGTCTCCTTTCTGAGGAGGTTAGGAAAGCCAGGTTAGAAGCCAGACAGGCCAGGCTGCTCAGCCTGCAAGCTCAGGACGAGGGTGGTGAGCAGGGCTGGGGACACATCACCACCCTCATGTCATTACCAAAACAACATGCTTATAAGTAGTTCCTGTGGCTTCAACCCATGAACCAGGAAGTCACTGTTTGATTCCTGGTCAGGGCACATGCCTGGTTTGTGGGCTAGATCCCCAGTAGGGGCCTGCAGGAGGCAGCCAATCAATGATTCTCTCTCATCATTGATGTTTCTATCTCTCCCTCTCCCTTCCTCTCTGATATAAATAAAAATATATTTTTTAAAAAAGAATGACCTGCAAATTCACATGTAGCTGTGGATAAACAGCCTGCTGGCTTCAAGCAATGATTTTCAACTGGTGTGGCTGCATGAATTCCTAACACATGCAATGCTGACTCTTTAGCCAGGGGCACTGACCTCATTTCCCTTCGATTGTCCAGTAAAACAATCACAACAACCAACACAGAAATAGCTGCCTGCTGTGCATGACTCAAAACTATGCCTACTTTTTGTCAGATTGGGCAAATATATATGTCTTGGTGTGCTGCAGAGGTTGAGTGGTGAGTGTGTGTGCCGTGAGATGGAAAAGGTTGAAAATTACTGGCCTAAAGGACTGCAGGAGCCAACCTCAAAGGAAGCCGACTCCAGCCTGCAGGCGTTTCGGGTCCAGGGGATTTGATCACCTTGGAGGAAAGCCAGAGCCTCCTGGACCGGGTCCCAGGTGGTTACCAGAGCAGACGGTGCTGACTGGAACCCAGCACCCTCTGCTTCCCCTGGTTCTGCCTTCCTCTTCCCGCTCATAGACCCCTGCTGTCCTCACATGTTAGGATGGTCCTTGTGCCCTGGCTAGTGGCTCAGCTGCTTGGAGCCTGGTCCTGTGCACCTAAGGTTGTGGTCTGATTCCCAGGCAGGGCACATACCTGGGTGGCAGTTCCCATCCCTGGTTGGGTGCATATGGAAGGTGGCTGATTGATGTTTCTCTCTTTTTTTTTCTAGAATCAATGGAAACATGTCCTGGGGTGAGGATTGAAAAACAGAAGTAAAGATGATCTTTGTGGTGAGAGTCCCCCATCTCCTCAAGCTGCTGGCTCTTGAATAAACCTGCTTTCCTCCATCACACCCTGTCCCTTGAGTACTGGCTTTCGAGTGGCAGGCAGCTGAACCTGGGTTGGTGTCCCCAGGACATTGTTCTGTCGAATGTTAAGTATCTGTGCCTGGAGGTGTGTTCACAAGGGACGTCTTCTTCGCATTGGGATGTCTTTCCATGTCATTGGCTCAATGTCAGTTGCGGTCAGATAGACGTAATGGAATCCGATGATTTAACCATCTTTAATTGTGCAGCACAGTGGCATTGAGGGCATTCACATTGTTGCAGCCTTCATCACTGTCCATCTCCAGAACTTTCCATCTTTCAAAGAGCAACTCTGTGCTTATTTAAACACTCACTCCCCCTCGCAGGGCCCTAGCCACCATCGTTCCACTTTCTGCCTCTGACTTTGATGACTCCAGGAACGTCATCTATGTGGAATCCTACGGCATTTGTGCTTCTGTGCCTGGCTTATTTCACTCTTCATGATTCCTCTTGGTTGATCCATGTTGTAGCACGGGTCAGAACTTCCCTCTTTCCAAGGCTGAATAGTATTTCTAGGCGGATAGGGGAGGCATGGTCACACGGGACCCTGGAGCTCAGTCCCAGATCACTTAGCTGACAAGACAGCAGGTCCTTTCACGTGTCAACACTCCAATGCACAGCTTCCACAATGGGGTCACTTCTCCTCCAGCACCTGCCCCATCAAGTCACCCTGACAGAATCCCTTCTGTACCCTAGCTGCTGCCCAGGGCACATTAACCCCTTCTGACTGGCTCAGAAACTGCTGTTGGTAAGGGTCCTTTCCAGCACAGGGTCTGCAGGAGGCTCTCGGGGTTACATGGTCTCTCTCCTTCTCTGTGACTTGCTCTTTCTGTTCCCTGGTGCTGTGGGGTGGCGGGGTGACCAGGTCACCTGTCTAGGAGAAAGCCTCCCGTTCTGGGGTTGACTGATTGCGTCTCTGAGCTGTAGTTTTACTTGTTCCTCTAATGTCTGTATTTCCTGTAAGGTGTTAGACCTAGAGACTTGATGAGTTTCAAGTTCAGCCAGACTTTGGGCCAGACTTTCCTGGGTCGTCCTGGGTGCATCCCACTACATCCCACAGGGATGCACCCAGAGTGGGGACAAGCCTGGTCTCAGAGCTGGACTGGGACCAGCAACTACCCTCTATTTTCCAATCCTCCTCATCCCTCCTGGGGCTCCTCACCTAAGGGAGTTTTGCTTTGTTTTTGTTAATCCTCACCAGAGGCTATTTTTCCATTGATTTTCTTTAGAAAGAGTGGAAAGGAGGGAGGGAGGGAGAGAAAGAGAGAGAGAGAGAGAGAGAGAGAGGAAACAGATGAGAGAGAGACACATCAATTGGTTGCCTCTCCCACCCACCCAGACCTGGTCCAGCTAACCCTGGAACGTACTTGTCCTTGGCTGGGAATCAAACCCGTAACTTTGGTGTGAGGGCCGATGCTCACCAGGATTTTAAAGCAACCACTGAGCACTGTTTGGGGTCTGTGATGTCACTCAGGGGTGTTCTCATCCCACCTCCCCTGCTTCCTCCATCAGCTGGGAGGTTCTATAAGGAAGGTGTGTCCTTCATGCAGCTATTGTTTACTGGGGTGAGGGCATCTAGAGGTTGATAATGTGCCTGCCGTTTCCTCACAAGACAGAGTGGCCCCAGGATTGCTTAGCTTTAAAAAATTTTTCCCAATTAGAAATTATTTTATTAAAATTGTTTTCAATTACAGTTTACATCCAATATTATTCTGTATTCGTGTCAGGTGTACAGCATAGTGGTTAGACAACCCTTCCTTTACCCCGTGTCCCCAATATTTTCAGCCCCCGCCTGGCACTGTCCATAGGACTCCGGAGCTTTCCCAGGGCAGGGAGAGGCCGTGGAGACCTCATGGGGTAGCTCAGTCACAGAGGCTGCTCGAGGGCAGGTGAGCTACCAACACCTTAACCGGCATTTCCTCTCTGCCTCCTGCCCCAACAAGGGGTGCTGTGTCTAAACTGACCAGGAGGGCGGGGTGAGGGCAAACATCTGTATGACATGGAAGTTCATTCGTGCTTATGACCTAGCGACGCAGAGGGGGTGATGGGGATCCGTGATGGGCCATTAGCAGTACCCCCTCTATTTGATGCACATGTATTCTGGGCTCCTGGGGACCTGAACCAAGAGGAGGCCAGAACCTGTAAGGAGGCAAAGAAGACACGTCAGGCTCCTGGCTGGCAGCCAACGTGACTGCACAAGACTTGATGACACAGGACACACAGCCCTTCTCAGAGCATTGTGTAGACGGTGCCTCCCAGGACCTTCGCCCCACTGACCTCTGGGCTGCTCATGCAAAGGCCTGTCCCCTCAATATAAGCTCTGTGACCTCTGCCTCATGGCCGGGGCCCTCCATCTGAGGTCTGTGCCCTCCATCTGAGGTCTGTGCCCTCCATCTGAGGTCTGTGCCCTCTATCTGAGGTCTGTGCCCTCCATCTGAGGTCTGTGCCCTCTACCTGAGGTCTGTCTCCTCCGTATGAGGTCTGTGCTCGCTGCCTAAGGTTGGTGCCCACTGAGGCCATACCAGAGCTGAGGATGAGCAGCAGGGCTGTGAGTGAGGTTTCCTTGTGCCCAGAGAGCTGTGCAGAGCACCCAGTTTGTCCCCAAATAAGGTTCCTCTGCTTCACACTGTCACCAGAACACACCTGCTCTGTTTCACAAATACTCACGTCTGTTTAAGAAACAATCTGCACCCATCAGGTTTCAACCATAAACATTAAAACCTCTGCATTAGAAAATTTCTTACCCACTTTCCAGATGGGCACTTTGAGGTGTAACTGGAAGTCGTCATATCTGTCTGACAAAATGAGGGTGTGGACAGGGCACAGTGTCTCTGGCTGCCATCAGCCCCACACCCAGTCTGGCCAGGCAAGCCAGGGGGAACCCCCACCCTGAAGGGGGTGTGGCCAGCCTAAAAATGGCCCTCAGTCCCTCACCCAGGCTGCCCAGGCAGCCCAGCAGGACCCCCACCCTGATTCAGGACACCCTTCAAGGCAAACCAGCCGGCCCCCACCCGTGCACCAGGCCTCCATCCTATATAATAAAAGGGTAATATGCACATTGACACTAACAGCAGAATGACTGAGAATGACTGGTCACTATGACACACACTGACCACTAGGGGGCAGACGTTCAATGCAGGAGCTGCCTCCTCGTGGTCCGTGCACTCTCACAGGGGGAACTCTGCTCAGTCACAAGCCAGGCTGATGGCTGCCAGCACAGCAGTGGTGGTGGGCGCCTCTTTCACCTGCTCAGCAGGGCTAAGGATGTCCGACTGCATCTTAAGCCTGCTCCCCACTGGCAAGTGGACATCCCCCGAGGGCTTCTTGGCTGCCAGAGGAATTTCTGAATGCCAGCTTAGGCCCGATCCAAACGGGGAGGAGGCCTAAGCCAGCAGGTGGACATCCTCTGAGGGGTCCCAGACTGCGAGAGGGCACAAGCCGGGCTGAGGGGATACCCCCCACGCCCCGAGTGCACAAATTTTTGTCACTGGGCCTCTAGTCTATCTATATAAAAGCCCATGGACCATGCCTCTAGTGTATATATATAAAAGCCAGCAGAAATATCAGAATGACTGGTCGACCAATTGGTTGCTCCTCGGGCAGTTGTGGTAGCAGCTGCTCCTCAGTTGGCAGCAGCTCCTGTGGTGGGCGCTGTTCACAGCTGTGGTGGCTCCTCTGGCTGGTGGGGGGAGGCTTCACACACAGCTGCTGTTCCTCAGACAGAGGGTGTGGTGATCAGGAGGCTGCTGTTCCTTGGATGGGGCGGGCTACAAAAGCAGCTGTTACTCTTTGGAATTGTTACTTTTAATCTCTTAAGCGGCCTCAGGGCAAGGTGTTTTCCAATAGGGTGTGTCAACTGTCTTCCCCCCAGGCAAGGCAGATGTCTGTCCCCCCAGGCAAGGCAGATGTCTGTCCCCCCAGGCAAGGCAGATGTCTATCCCCCCCAGGCAAGGCAGATGTCTATCCCCCCCAGGCAAGGCAGATGTCTGTCCCCCCCAGGCAAGGCAGATGTCTATCCCCACAGGCAAGGCAGATGTCTATCCCCACAGGCAAGGCAGATGTCTACGTGGCTGTATGAGGGAA